TCCATCGCTGGCGCGCGCCTGGGATCACTTTCCCGTTTCGCATTTCTAAGGCTGCTGCTGGGTTATTTTGGTCAGGAAACCTGATCCTTCGCTCGGTTTATTTTAGCACCTTGGAGAACTCTCAGTGCCGCACCGGATCCGAAGCCGCGCCCAGCCTGCTGTCGCCCCCCTCTGTTTTTACCCCCCAGAGGCGCCGCACCGCAGGCACCGCGCACCCTGCGCTGGGGCCAGAGCAGATCCCCAGGCCGCGGCTCTGCAAACGCAGGGCGGTGTCAGCCGGGCGCTGGAGCTCGATCCCGAAGCACCGCACCGAGAGGCAGCAGTTGCAAGGAAGCCCCAGTCTTGCTGACCCAGCGCAGTGGGCGCAGGGATGCCAGAGCCTGGCTGACACCAAGCCAGCAGTGACCTCCGCTTAGCCTCCGCCTACCAGCCAACCCTACAGTTACAAACGACACACTCCACGCAAACACATGCAGTCTCTCATACACACTCTCTTCCATCACCACCACACCCACGCTGTACTCACCTACACCCACAGCAGCTCACAAGGGTGCATGCACACTACACTCTTCCACAGACAAATACATGCGGATTCACAGCTAGAACAAGCACCAACACACATATACACACCTGCCATGGGCACATAATCTCACATTGTCATTCATGGTCACTCACATCATGCCACCAGGGACTCAAGCACACCATAAACATTAAAACACTCACACAGGCACAGACATGTGGGCACTTTCTATACATACCCACTCACTTTCCAAGTTTTGGTGTATGCATTTTCCCCTCCATTAGCAGCTCAATACTGAACTTTACATCAAAACAACTGACTTGTCCTCTTCCTGATTAATAGAGATTGATTCTTGTAACCACTATGAGCATCAATTCATGCTATTCATTATTTATGCTAATTTATGCCTTGATTCATCATTTCTGGAGTTATCCCTCATCATTCTTCTGCTCCACAGGGATGTACATACTGTTGACTGAGGAGGCTTGAGCCAAGGTGTTCAGTGGACAGTGGCAAAAGATGATGGAGAGGCAGGCAGAGAGGTCTCAAGCCAGCAGTGCCCTGGGAGAATGTGGTTTGGAGCATTTGGTTAAGAAGGTCTACACTCCCAGGTTCAAAGCCAGGTCAGACAATGGGTTTTATGCATTTGTTACTGGCTTACCGCTGTCCCCTATTCCTGGCCACTGCCTGTCAATGGAGAGCCATGATCACTGGGCTGAGGCCAGGAGACTTGAGATTTAGTTATAGAGCCTTCTCCAGATAACTTCCCTGTGGTACCAGCCTTCTCTCACCTGGCCTGGTCCAGCTTGCTACCTGCAGGCCCACCCAGCTCTGCCTAGGTCTGCCTCCTAGCCTTTTGATGCTAACCCCTCCAGCCAGAGATGCTTACCAACCTGCCAGGGATTCTGGCTCCACCTACTTGTCCTTGGTGGTCATTCCAAGCCTCCCCATTGGCTTTTTGTCTAGTTCTAAACAGTTGGGGCAAGAACCCTGCTACCCAGGGCAACAGAATCACAGTGCTTCACATTTCCCTCTCTAGAGGACTTCCTCTCTCTAAAATGGCCTTTCTGGACACTCAGGACCTTGTCTTTGCAGGTAGTGAGCCCTGGAATCTTCAGGTGGCTCACAAGAGTTGTGAGTCTTGTGAGTACCTGTGGTTGTCTGAACATGGCTATCCTTTAGATGGGACTGCTGTTGAGAGGGCCCACTCCATCCCAACCACCCAGCCTCTGGGTCAACTGCCACCTCCCTCTCAACCCTGCCCCCACTCCAGGCACCTGAGTCATGTGTAGTGGGATGATGAGGCCTAGCTTTGGGGATCATTGCCAATGCTATGGAAACAGTTCATGTAGAAGCCCTAGCTCATAATCTGCTCAGTAGGGAGCTGTGCTGAGGCCATGTCATGGGCCTCTGGGCCTTGTTCAGGACTGCTTGCTATTTTTGTCTCTGACTCGTATATCTTTGAGTTTTCACGATCTGCCTAGTCCAATGTACCAGGGCTGTACAATCCTGGCCTAGGTATGGCAAAAGGAAGGGGATGGGGATAGTGTGAGTTCATTGGTGTAGAACATCTCTAACAGATGTCCCTTTTGTCTGCTTCACAGACAGCAGCATCTTATACTCTCATGGCACATCCTGACCATCCACATATGCTGAGGCTGATATAGGTTTGTGTCCAACACTCACAAACCTCCCAAGAAAGCCATGCAAGTAGAAGGGCTGCATGGGAGGGTGGGAGAACGGGGGTGGGGTGGGCAGAGTGTACAAGCAGGCAGATCAGGAACTGGGCCAGGGAATTTACAAGTGAGCTATGTCCATTCTGACCCTCTGTCTGTCCTGCCTGCCCCTGTGGGAGCTACCCCTCAGCTGTAGCCTGGCAACTTCTAACCCTGATCAACCCTCAGAGCGTCAAGGTGAACTGAACTCCTTCATGGGGGTGAAGGAATGGGGAGCCAGTAAAGGGAAGTTGCATTCTGCCACAGAAATCCTTACCTGTGGGCAATCAAGTACCTGTGTCCTGTTCTGGTGGCTAGTCCATCTTAGTTCACAGGAATCAGTCTTAGTAGGCATGTGTGTGGGCCTGGAGGGTGTTGAGATTGGGGCCAGGACTCTGGTTTCTTATTGTCACCTCCCAGGGTCAAGGTGAACCACAGCGATGAGGCTGGTGTGACACACAGTGGGTCCTATAGTGTTCTTTCACCATCACAAGGCTGGGGTATCTGAGCTTGTGTAACACACAAGTACTCAGAAGTACTACCATTTCCAGTAGGTTTCAGGGGAACCCCTGCCCAAGAAATCACCTCCAGGGGCTCCCCTGTGCAGCTGGGCAGTGTAGCCAATGACATCTTTTCCCTAAGGCTCCACACATGCACCTGGAGCAGCCTGGAACATGGTGTCTTGTTTTTGAGAGCATCTGCTCTCTTTCATGGAAGCACCTTGGCAACTGAGGATGAATAGGTTCCAGGCATTTGGGGTGATGAAAATGAGTTGGGCATCCCTAAACTTAATGGCATTCTTCTGCATAAATGGAGTAGCATGGTAATTATCTATTGCCATGAGGTGTTTCAGGCTGTAGGGGTTCTTAGAACAACAGAATGTAGTGTGAAATCTGGGGAGGCCACTGTGGTTTCACAGGCCAGGAAAGACTACAAACTTCACATGAGGCCCTCAGGGAACTATATGCTGCCATGATTTTATATCAGGCAGGATTGGGTATACCAATCCTGAAAGTTGAATAGGAAAAGGACATGGCTTCACTAGCTGGGAACATGGGACAGCAGCAATGGTCAAGGCTGAGAATGTGGCTGGGAACAGGCAGTAGCTACCTTAGCTGGCCATTTCCTGCTGTGACTGAGCAGATGTGAGATGAATTCCTCATAGAGACCCTCCCAAAGTTTCAGCAGACCCTAGCTCTCGGTGTCTACTATGGACAGCCTTGAGGGGCTGTGGCTGTGGCTTGGCATGGTTTTAGTGTAGCTGCCAGGTTTTCTGATGTCACAAACTGTCCTTTATCTAGAAAGTAACTACAGGGTAGGGGTGGAGCCAAGGCTACTTAGATTCTTGAATTCCCATTGCTATCTGGGGATAAACTCCTTTTGAACCTTAAGTCTGAGACCACCAGATGGTCAAAGCAGGGAAACCTGCCACATTGGGGTAGTAGGATACTCTTTCCAGCTTTCGCATTCTGGATTTCTCTCTCTGTCTCTCTCTCTCTGTCTCTCTCTCTCTCTCTGTGTGTGTGTGTGTGTCTGTCTGTCTTTCTCTCTCTCTCTCTCTGTGTGTGTGTGTGTGAGAGAGAGAGAGAGAGAGAGAGAGGGAGAAATGTACATAAAGAGACTTCCAATTCAGAGTGTCCGATGAATGTAAACTTCTCACACACTTTTGGCCATCTGATTGCCTACAGTCTGACCATCCTACAGACACGCAAAGGGCCAACACTAGGAGACTAACTTCTCCCACCCATCAAACCTTCCCAGCCTTGGAGCCTCCCAAAACCTCCACAGTCTCCACCCAACTACCAACCCCGGCAGACAGGATTCCCAGGGAAATGCCCCCAGGTCTCCTGAACTGGAAACATGCGGGCATCAGAAGTGAAAGGGCAATAGGAGCACCCCCCCACCCCAGGACTACAGTACCCAGAATTCCTAGGGTTAGCAAAAAGGAAATGTCGTTTATGCAAGAAGAGGCTCAACTCCCCCCAGCAGCTGCAGAGGGGGAAAAGAGGGAGAGAGGGATAACCAGGGGGGAGGGCGCGCTGAGTGCGGGAGCGAGGGTGGAGAGCCGGGCTGGCCGGAGGAGGCGGCGCCCGCCCGCCGGCCGCCGCCTGCGGACCTGCATCCCTCGGGGCGCTCTAACGAGCAGCGGTCCTGTGCGCCGGTGCGCGCTGCCGCTCGGCTGCGGGCGAACGCGGGGGCCAGGCCGGCGCAGGGGCCGAGTTTCTGCAAAGTTTGACCTGGTTGCCTTTCCGATGCTGCAGCAGAGCGAGGCGGCGCTGGGCGCGCCAGGCGGCTGCGGCGCGGCGGCGGGGCAGAGCAGCGACGACACGCTCACAATGATCATAAAATAAGGAGGCGCTCGGGGTGGGGGCGAGAGAGCCCCGAGCCTCAGCCCTCCGTCCCCGGCCATCCCCACAGCAGCCCGGAGCTAGGAGGGGCTTGGGGATCCCGGGCGCCCACGCCATTCCTAGACCCTAGGAGAGCCAGGGTACACTACCCAGGGGAGGGAGCGCCCCGAGAACGTGTGGGCGGAGGGGTCAGGGGAGTCCGGAGGGCAGTGACCCAGGCACCCGGAGCGGCCCTAGGGGCAGGTGAGTTCCCAACGTCCCCCGGGTGGGGAGGAGAGTGCTAAAGTTCTCCCGCAGAGGCGCGCGCCCAGGCGCGTTGAGCTCCGCTGCTGCTCGCGGCTGACGAGGGGAAACCGAGGCACGGGTCGCGGGGGCCGGGTGTCGAGCCACCTCAGTCGGCTAAGGACCTCTCGCCAGAAAGGACCGGCCTGGGGATGGCACTGTGCCCCTGCGGTACCGATAGACCCTAGAGAGAAGGGGCGTTCCACTCTGGTGGCGTGGTGCTGAAGCGCAGCACCAGGGCTGGGAGGTTCTAGTGATCCACCGCGATGGCAGTCTGGCCGACCCCCTACCCCGCCCCCGGGCTGGAGGGGTGTCAGCGGAGATGTCACGGGAGGCGATTATTCGCTGGTGCGCGCAGTCGTGCGGCCGCCACTGACGGGGCGGGCGGAGGGGGGGGCGCCACCTCCGGGGAGACCGCCCAGAGCTGCGCCGTCAGCTCCGCAGCCCGCGCCCGGCGCACACGCATCGCCGCGCCCTCGCGTCCCCCGCAGTAAAGTTCGGCTCAACTTTGACGCCCTGTCCCTTCCACCTCTCTGCAGGTCCTTGGCGGCCGCGGCGAAGCAGGCGGCGGCGGACACCCAAGCGCAGCCTCGGAGCCCCACGAGGCGGTCGGCGGCGATAACGACAGTGGCAAAGGAGCGCGCGAGTGGGCGCCGGAGGGGACTCGGAGAGCGTCTAGCCCGGAGCGCGCCTCTTGGAACCGTGCGTGGGTGCCGGCCAAGCAGGGCTCCAGACCTCTGCCGCTTGAACGAGAGCTCACGCTGCAATTGATTGGGCTCCTCCGGGAGGGCGCGTGTGTCCCGGGGAGCGGGTGCGGAAGGCAGAAGGGCAGGAAGTCGGCGTTCTGCAGCGAGGGTGGCGCGACCGCGCGGGGACCGAGCCTTCCTTATTTATGTGCCTGCCAGCGCTCGTCTGCTTCCTCCGAAGACTTCAGGGAGCGTGTCCGACCTACCATCCCCAACTGTGAGGACACAGAGCTGGATGTCAGAACAACATGCTTATCCATTAAACTGCAAACTTTTCTTTTTTTAAACCCAAAGAATATCGGTGGCTTTTGCCCACTGCTAGAAGAGGGAGCCCAGGGCTCTTGAGATGCAACAAAATCCATATTTATAACCAAGCCCGGTAGTGCTATGCAAGCCCCCTCCACTCAGTAAGTTCTCTATCCTATGGATCTCGCTTTTGAGCTTTGAGATTAGATCGCGCACTCTGCACTGGGTCCTGCAACCTCCATCCTTTCAATGCCCTGTTATTTTTGGGACTGCTGGCCTTCCCTGGAGATTAGAGCGGTCCTGTGTGCCATGGGCTGTATTCAGAGCATCGGAGGCAAAGCCAGAGTCTTCCGGGAAGGGATTACGGTGATTGATGTGAAAGCCTCCATCGACCCCATCCCCACCAGCATCGACGAGTCCTCCAGCGTGGTACTGCGCTACCGGACACCCCATTTCCGGGCCTCAGCCCAGGTGGTCATGCCACCCATACCCAAGAAAGAGACCTGGATCGTTGGCTGGATTCAGGCATGCAGCCATATGGAGTTTTACAACCAGTACGGGGAGCAGGGCATGTGAGTACTTCTGGGGACAGGTTGAGGGAGGGGGAGCTGCAGGGCAAGTTGTTGGGGGGCCCTGGAGCAGGGCTGTTGGGACACAGGGGCCTTTACGCAGAAGTGGGACAGTCTCCAAACCTTCTCGAACTCTCTGGAGCCTTTACTTGTTGGTTAGGGTCCTAGCTTAGTAAGACCTGACTGCTATTGTCCCTGGTGTCCAGAGTTGTTCTGTCCTTCCTGGCACGATGCTGAGAAAACAGGAACATGTGCCTCTTTGGTAAAGCAAGTGTTAGGGCCATCAGTGGGTCACCAGAAAAGCCACCAACTCTAGCCCCAGGCTCAGGCCTCCATGAACCTATGAGGTAGACATGAGTGGTCTGGGACTTTGAAGTCTCTACACTCCTTTTGTACCAGACTTTGTGCTGGGGCCTGGACTTGTATCTGGGGTCTGGGGTGGGGGCGGGGGTTTGGATGCACAGAGAGCTGCAGAGGACAGCATTGTGTGGCAGCGTGTGCATGTCTTAGAGGGACTTGGGAAACCTACTTTGCTTTGCAGTTTGCAGTCTTGTCTCCCAATAGAAGTCAAGGGTCAGCATCCGGTGTTCCTCCAGTGGGGCCCTAACTAGGAACAGCTAGAGGAGCTTCCTCTCTGTGGCTTGGTCTCCTAGAATGACATAGATCTCCACAGGGACCCTGAGGCCCTTGGGTCTTGTTTTGTATGTTCTCTGGCCCCACAGATGGCCATCCCCCATTTGGAAATGATTCTCACAGGAACAGTGTCAAAAGCAGCTGCTGAGACCCAGTGGTTTGGGGGGGGGTCGGTCCCTGGCTTGACCCCTGTGATGGCTCATGGACACTGTCTCACAGCCTTTGGTGTCCACTCTACGTGGCCTCACTTCTCAGCTTTGCAAGTGGGGAAGAGTAGGGCCTCCTGGAGAGTTGGAGTTTATGTTTGACAAATGTCCAGGATAACCTGCTTCATCAGGACTGAGGGTGGCCAGACACAGGTCAAAAAATGTGCCTTATCACTAAAGGAAACAGGAAGAGGGGATAAGACTTAAAACTGGGTTGTCACATGATGGCCTAAGACCCTTGGGGAACATGGGGTCACTGGGCTGCCTGTAGTGCCACCTCTGCCTTTTGAGCCCTTTCTCTTTTAAGACTCAACAGTCTTACACCACAGCTACTCCAAGAGGGGTGGTGAGACTCTCAGCTGCCCCGGGGGGTCAAGACCTCAGGCAGTGCCGGGTTCATAGTTAGATGAACCCTGTGCACCTTAGACTCTGCAGTCACTTCCCAGGGTGTGACCTTAGCCTCTCTGAGCCTCAGTTGACTCATCTGCAAACTGGGGCTAATCGTTGTTCCTTCTGCATGGTTTATTGAGAGAGTTACTCAGACAACCTTTGCCCCCTCAGTCAGCACTAGGCCAAGTTAATGTGAATCCTGCAAGCAGGTGGCTGTCAGCCTCAATGTGATTTCAGTTTCAAGTCTACCAGATGGAAATAAGTGATGGTATTTACGAAGCCAACACTTGGCTGAAGCCACTGAATTAGAAAAGATGCCAGCTACTCCTTGTAATGAATTTTCACCCGGGTCTGGGTCCTACACTTTTAAAAGTGTAAAAAAAAAAAAAAGTAGCACCAGTCAGGTATGGTTAAAGAGGCCAAGGCCATTTTCTTTGCTTTCTGTTAGTGCCTGGCTCCACTCATTCTCCCAGGCACCTTGGCTTTTAAGTTCCAGGTGGGGCAAGGCCAGCTGCAGCGTGGGGTCAGGGACAGGTGACCATCCTATGGAGAACATGCGGTGGATGGAGCCACATCTCTCTTCACCACTGGTCAGCAAAACTGTGAAGCTTGGATTTGCTGAGTGATGCGGTCCCGTGGTCCTACTGCACATGGTGCTGTACCCATCCTGTCCATGGATACAAGGGCTGCTTTGCAGGAAGCCTAAACGCCACCTCTCATAGCTCAGAGTACAAACAGAAACAATTAGATGGGGTTATTAAAAGAACCTTCCAGGCTGGACATGATGGCACACACCTTTGATTCCAGCTCTCTGGAGGCAGAAGCAGGCAGATTTCTGACTTGGAAGCCAGCCTGGTCTACGTTGTGAGTTCCAGGACAGCCAGAACTGTATCAGAGACCTTGTCTCCAAAAACAAAACAAAACAAAACAGCACAGCACCTTCCTGTGTTAACTGCTGTCTCTGAGCCCTTAAGCCTCAAGTGAATGGGTGATTGTCTCTTCCCCTGCCTGTGCCCTGGTCAGATCCTTCTCCTTGGCAGCTGGGGACATTACAGAGGAGCCAAGGCTCCACCTCTTTGAGTATCCTACCCACCCCTAACTTCTAACAACCACAAATGTCCTCAAACGGGACTTAAAACCCCCCATGTCCCCTGAGAGGGGTGTGGAATTACTGTTGGACTCAGTCCAGACCAAAGTGACCTGGGGAGGGGACAGCCAGGTGGCCCAGGCTGGATTAGAACTTGTGCTCTTTACAAATGGGCTTTTATTAAAAATATTAATTCTGAGTACTTATCTGAAATCTGTAATATCCCCAAGCATTATCCCTGCTCGAAATCAATCTCTATGCGAGGATGACTTGTTGGATGGCATTGAGATGGAACCCTGAAATCCGGAGAGCTACCACCTCAGTCACAGCCTAGCTGTGCAGGGAAATGCTGGGAGATGGCGGCTCTTGTGCTCATAGGACTTTCAAAGCCAACCCCCCTCCAAACTGTTAGAGACACCTGCCTCCTCAGCTGTCCCCCGCAATTCCTCAACTGCCACCTGTCAGCTGATATAGAGCCTTCTAAGTGACAAGCCACAGTTTCTTGCCTGTGTGGGAGACACTATGCATGTTGTCCCTACTTTGCCCTTCTTTGGTGGTTCTCTTGGAACATGGCCCATGGCTGAGGCCAAGGCCAGGAGTGGTATATATAGCTGAGCCAATCAGCTGATGTGGTAGGGAGCGGAGGAAAGCAGTCTGGACCTCGTTGTTTCCACCTTTGAAATGGGATGCAAGCACCTCCCTGCTTACTTGGCTCTGCGGGATGAATAAGGTAGCACTTGGCACAGAGCCTGTTCCCTGGGACACTCCCTGCTCCATCTCCTTAGATACTAGGATTACAAATCCCGAGTGTTAGTATTGGATTATTGTTCTATACTGTGTGGCTAAGAACTAAACCAAGGCGCATGCTTGGTGTCTAGGTCCCTTTTCATAGCAGGACAGCCTTGGTGTGAGACTCATGGGGTAACACTGGGACATGGGCTTTCTTCTACTTTGCTATCTCTGGGGTGCACCCCAGGACCCAGAGACTCTAATTTGAGGATGAAAACTCAGACTATAAAGCTTGCCCAAGGATGTTTGCTCAGCACCTGAGGTCTGGGGGATGGCCCCAGGAGGAATGTCCTGGCTAGCATGTGGCCTCTTCCCGGAGCCAGGGCCTGAGTGCCTCACAGAACAATTGAAGACTAAGCTTCCTGTCTTGGGGCGGAAGGCGGCTTCCCCCATCTGCCGGGCAATGGTGGAGGCCAGGGCGGGGTAAGTAGGAGAGGGAAGTCCTTGCTTCCGAGCTTCAGGGTGGGAGGGAAGTGGTGGTGGTGACCTAGCCAGGGAGAACTCCCTTTGGGCTAGCAGTGACCAAGTGATGGCTCCAGCTGAATCTGCCTTCTGAAAGTGGGAAGCAAGGGACCTGTTCTGGGGACACACAGACAGATACCCAGCAGCCAGGGATATTAGGAAATGCTAGGGGCCTCTGCTGTGGATTGGGCACAGTGTGAGTGAGAAGGCTTCAGGACCTCTTGTGTTGGGAGCAGAGTCTAGGCACCACGATCTGATCCGCTATCTGCTGAGCCTGGCTATTGCTGGCTGTGCCTTTAGTCCAGGGCTTCTGCTTTTAGGGTCTGGCTTATAGAATACTGTGCCCTAGTCTGGGCCTGGTTTCTGGAGACACTATAGGTAACCTAGTAAGCAGGTAAAGTACATACATGTGAAGAAAGGAGCCACTATGTGAAGATCTTGCCCTGGAACTATGGCAGCAGGGAGTTGTAGATAACCCAGGCATCTTGCAGATGGGAGAGAGAATTAAGATCTGTCCACTGTGAAGAGAGTACTGCTGTTACAAACAACCAGGTTTCCATGGAAACAATAGTGTCTTGTTAAAATAAGGCTGGAAGATGAGCCCAGGGTCCTGCAGAGATCTTGTCTTGAGAGGCCTTGGCTTCCATCCCCAAGAACCCTCCCCCAAAAAACAACATGCAAGAATCTGATGGAGACCATTCATTGTGAGGAAAATGCTAAACATGGGGGTGCATCCTGTGTGTATACGCAGAAACGACTAGAAGGATGTTTACTGGAGTGTAACATCATGAGTAACCCTCCAGGAGGAGGAGCAGAGGATACACAGCTTTAGTTTTTACTTTATTAATTTCTTAATGGCTTGTTCTTTCTTAAAGGACACATTTTATTACTAGAAAATAATATTTTTTTTTTTTTAAAAAAGGAAGAATAGTTTATTGAATACCCTGCAAAAGGCCAGTGCTGGGCAGTTTTGACTGTAGTATTTGGTCTTGAAGCTAAAATGAAGCAGGCACTGTTGGGTCCCTCCTCCTCAGGTTAGGCCAGGGCTGGGGTGTGAGCCCAGAGGAGTGGATGGACAGGAGGAGGCAGGCTCCACAAGTGGGCCTGTGGGAAGAGGCAGCACATTCCTTGCTTGAGCTGTGGGCAGTCGCTGGGTGCTATGAAGGCAGGAGCTGGTGGTGGGCCATGGAGAGCCCAGGCCCAGTCTAGGGCATTTTAGCCCATGTAGAAGGGAGTCTCTTAGCTTCACTTTCTGTAACATAACTTTTCTAGAGTGAGTGCTGTTTGGGGATTTTACAAATTTGCGAAACTGTTCAGTTGGTGTCCAAGGTGAGCTAACCCCTGACTTTCCCAGGCTGCTTAGCTGACTGTAGTGCCGGGGCTAAGCAGGACAGCTATGAGTGCTGCATGCCTCCAGCCCAGAACCTGTGTCTTCC